AAAAAAAAAAAAAAGCCCAAGGATTTAGACCATATTTATGAACTAAGGAAAAAGTTTCTTCATCCTAAGATTTAAGTTCATTTGCCATTATTCTGTCACTTTACACATTAGCCACATTGTTAAACAGATTGGTGAACTTCATGGAGACACGACTTTTAGTTGTCTTTTCATACATAATGTTATTTACCCAATGTCACAGGAGGAAAAAAATGACAAGCTCAGACAATTGGTGACTAGCTCCATAAAGCTTCCCAAACTTAACTTGAAATCTCAGTGACGTAACGAGAAGAAAAGAAGGAAGCAGGTACCCCTTTTTTGTGCCACTAACTGGGCATTGACCTTGGCAGGTCACCTTGGAGTCTCTGTACTTCATCCTCCTCACATACAAAATGAAAAGGATTGGATCACATAATCTCTCAGATCCCTTCAAGTCCCCATACTTTATGACTTGACATTGACTCCTCTGGTGCTGAAGGTCTAGGAGACAGACCCTGGTTACATGGTCAGCACTCCTGTAGCACAGTGGAGTCCAGGAAACCTAAAGGAGAAATGGAAGTCATGACAAGCAGTGCCCATCACTGGAGCACTTGACTACCTGCATGCCAACGTGACCCAAAAGTCACACAGAACAAAAATAATTTTCACATCCTTGATGTGGTATGCTGAATGATGCCTCTCCAGAGATGCCCACATTCTAATCCCTGGAAGCTGGGAATATGTTATATTATGGTGGCAAAGGGGACTTTGTAGATGAGCTTAGAGATTTTGAGATTAGATTCTCCTGGATTTATCTGGGTGGGCCCAATGCAATCACAAGGGTCTTTATAACAGGGAAGTAAGATGGTCAGAGAGGGATTTGCAGACACTCCATGCTGGCTTTGAACATGGAGAAAGGGGTCACAAGCCAAGGAATGTGGGCAACCGCTAGAAACTGGAAAAATCAAGACAACAGATTCTCCTCTAGAGTTTCCAGAAGAAACAAAGCCCTGCAGACACATTTTCGACCTCTAACACCCATAATGGTAAGATAAATTTGCTTTAAAAAATTTTAGAGGGGTGCCTGGGTGGCTCAGTTGGTTAAGTGACCGACTTCGGCTCAGGTCATGACCTCATGGTTGGTGAGTTTGAGCTCCGCGTCGGGCTATGTGCTGACAGCTGAGCCTGGAGCCTGCTTCGGATTCTGTGTCTCCCCCTCTCCCTAGCCCTCCCCTGCTCACACTCTGTGTCTCTCGGTCTCTCAATAATAAATAAATGTTAAAAAAAAATTTTAGAGATAAGTGACATGTAACGTATTCATTTTAGGTGTGAAACATAATTATTTGATATTTGTGTGTATTACAAAACGATCACTACCATACATGTACCTTAACATCCAACACTATACACAGTTACAGAACATCTGCTTTCTTTTTACATGATTTGTTATAGTATTTGTCATGGGAAACAAATACATTTGATCATGCACAGGATGATATGGTGTCTCCCCTCCACCCAAGGTTTACACACCCAACACTTGGTTCACACGAATCTGATTTCAAGAGAGGTATCTCAGTATCCTATTATGTCCCTTTCATCCTAACAATTTCTCAGTCATGATTTCCCTTGAAACACACAGATGGCCTATAGACATGTGATCACATCTTTCCAGCCTACACCTCCCACTCAAGCCTCTATCCATTCAAGATAAAAGTTTATTCTTTGCTTATCCCTCACACCTAAAGACAAAGTGATAGCCTGATTTTTATCAGTTTATAAGACATCAGACTGAGGGGTCAATGGATCTGAGGACCTCGCTTGATCCTCTGAATACGAGGTTGGCTTCCTTGTTAATAACATTCTTTCCTGCAACTGAAATAGAAGCTTCAGTGGTGAATGCCCCATAATTTACTTATGAGAAAGCCTTTGCAATCAATCAACTGGGGGCATATGGAAGATGTGGCAGGGAAGAGACGGAATTTATTACATTAGCAGAGGAGGGATAGGATGTTTTGTCCTGCCGGCACTCAGTTACAAGATTTTCAGAAGTTCCTGTGAGAACATTTTATAAGTGAGATGGCCACTGCTGTCTTCCCCAGTATACTGATGAGGAGGCTGAGGCCCCAAAGCTCATAGGTGGCGGGGGGGGGGAGGCTTGTGGTGTGATGTACTATGTGATCTTCTCTCCATCACAAATGCCAGGCCCTGGGGGAGCCATAGAAGCCGACAAGAAGCTGAGCCAGCGTGATGATACAACAGACTCCTTGGCACAGCTGTATGAGACACAAGACTTGGGAGTCTCTGAAAGAAGCATAAGAGTGAAGAAATAGAAGGAAATGGGATGGTTGATGACTGACCTCTTGAGTTTCCAAAGCAACTCTGGGTCTGACTCAGGACTTTGGACAGAAAGAAAAATTTTGTTAGATAACAATGGGAAAAGTCCGGAGCCCTGAATGTTGCACGCTATGTCCACAGGCAGTCATCTTTTTTTGTTTGTTTTAATTTTCTTCAGTAGAGGACTCCATGTGCTGATACTTTTCTGGCTAAAACTGAATGCTGGAGACATGGGAAACACCCACATCGTTGGGGAGATCGGGGGCCATTGCAGCACTGACTGATTGTCCAGAAGAGTAAACATTCTCTAAGGCACCAACTCATATTTCTGAAGGTCCTAGAACTAAAGGCACTAGAGGTGGCTGTACTCGCTGGTGGACATGTTTCTATCTTGCATATTTCATTGATCTTTGCAGACCACCACTGGTAAGTCATGCTGTAACCTCTTTTGGTGGCACCTCAAATCCTAACACTCCAATTAACAGGACAGATCCAGAAAGGCAGCCCCATAATCTATCCTTCCCATAACTTGGTGGTGTGAGTGTATTTTCTACCTTCTCTTGCCCACAGACAGTGAATAAAGTCAAGAGATCGGCCATCAGAAATTATTGTGTAGAAAGGAACTTCCAAACAGAGTCATAACTAGAAATTTTGGTGCCAGGGCAAGCACAAAATATGCCCTCAAATTAACTTTGGAATTCATGTCTTGGCTCCTATATTGGTGTTATTGATAATACTTACCATCTGGTGGTTTCCTGTTTCAACTAATTATTCTTGCTAACTAGGTATTAAGCTCAGTGATCTTACATGCATGTGCTGTTGGATTAATTGCACAATCATTTTTAAAATCGACACACTGCCGGGCGCCTGGGTGGCTCAGTCAGTTGAGCGTCCGACTTCGGCTCAGGTCATGTTCTTGCAGTGTGTGAGTTCGAGCCCCACGTCGGGCTCTGTGTTGACAGCTCAGAGCCTGGAGCCTGCTTCAGATTCTGTGTCTCCCTCTCTCTGCCCTTTCTCTGCTCATGCTCTGTCTCTCTCTGTCTCAAAAATAAAAACATTTTTTAAAAATTAAAAAAAAATTGATACACTGTAGATTTCAGAGCCCTGGGGCAATAGCATAGTGGCCAGGTAGAGTTACAGCTCTGATTATGCAGAGAGAAGAGACAGCAAGAAGCAGTAGTCAGTGACGGTAGGAATGGGAAGCACAGAGGACTCTTTAATTTGATAAATATTTACCGAGCAATTCCTACATGTCAGGTACAG